TTTTTTTTTACTGTTTCTTTCTCAGGCTTTAATTATGCAATCTGTACTTTCAGTGACAAAGCCAGCTTAAACAGTTTCCACCCTTTGGTGTTTACAGCAGGTTTTTGTTCTGTTTTTTCCCATTCCCATGCTTTTCATTGGCGGTTTTTAAACCCAGATAATTTCGGCAATCTCCTTTACAGCAGGCGGGCACACAGCTCAGCTGAGGCCAGCGAGGGGCTGGCACATGGGCAAGGAGGGCAGGAACAAGGAAAGCAGCACCCGGCGAAGCACAGACTTCGTTTCTCCCTCCAAATATTACCCACTGGAACGTCGCATCCCGCACAAATTTTTCTTCTATAAGGTGGCTTGGGTCTGAGAGAGGCTACCGTGGCTTTGTCTTCCCATTTCTGCAAGCAACTTCATTGCTTCTTTTCCAAAATTAAGATTACTTGTTATAACAATCAGTTTCCATATATCACACTTACTAGTTCAGCTTCTCCTGTCATTTTATCTTAAGCAGTAGTAGGTGAAATATTTGCCCTTTGAGCTAAAAACAGTGTTACAAATTATCTGATCCCAATATATTATATCTATACAAACGCAATTCTACACACATTTTCTTGAAATACATAGTGTATTTAGATTAGGAAACTCCCACAACACACACTTTATTCTCATCCATAGGTTCCTCTTTCTTTGGACTCTTTGGACTCTTTCCACAACTGAATTTCCAGTTCTGCAGGGTAGCTGTATTGAAATTATGTCATGCGGTTGCCTTCCTCCTTGTTGTTAATGGATTTAGTTTTGTGACTGAAATCAGTTTTGCTTTTTCCCTGACACATATTTTAGATGAAAATTGATATTTTCATCACTGGAATCGTTGGGCTAATGCACCTTCTTACAGATATGGAACCTAAGCAAGGTTTAGGGTTAGTACAAAAGCTAGACAGAAACAAAGTATTTCAGAAAAATCAAAACATACCATTTTGGTAGGAAAAAAATAGTTTGGGGTTTTACTTTTCAAGTAGTTTTGAAAATTAAAAAAAAAAAAAAAACTAAAGCATTGATTTGATCAAAAGGATGTCTTTTGATTGAATCAGAATTTCTCTCCCCACATTTCATGACAGAAGATGTTGAAGTCTTCTCATTCCATTTCAGGATGAAAAAAAAGTATTTCAGAATCACAGTGTTTGCTGTTAAACAGAAAGTCTACTTTTTACCCACCTTCACTTTAGGCTCTTTATTCACACCGGATTATGAAAGGGAGCCTTGACAGTGTATGGAGCTTTGGGCCTCTGCCCTTCATTCCTTTTAGCATTATGCAATTCTACAAGCTGCTGCTTTCAAAATTCCCCGTTTGACTGTATGTCATACAGCTTTCTCATTTTCCCAAAGGTAGCTTCTCAGATTTCTATGGCTAAAATATGAGCTTGTTTAGTTCTGTTTTGAATAATCTATGTGACCGAAGCCCCTTTGGTCTTCCTAAGAAGTTCCATTCAGGATCCCATAGGAGATGGAAGAAACTTGGTGTGCTCCCACCTCGCTTCCTTGTGGCCCCGCAGAGGAGGGAACTCGTGAATTGTAGCTTTTCTGTAGCTGTTCTACAAACACAGTCTGCCCCTATGGCCCTAAGTGACACAGCTCGTACTCGCTTGTGAATGTCTGCAGCTTGTGCAAACACTCTGGATTCAAAGCACAGAAGCACAGAAATTAGCTAATTCTCACAAATGTGTGGAAAAATGTACTCATTAGAATTCCCGAAATTTAACGCTGTTGTCCTGTGTTCTCAAAATGATTTACATTAATGGAAAGTGTAGCACAGGAATTATCTGTGGCATGTTATATTAAAACAAAATACTCAGAATGCACAGAATGCTTTTACTGAGGAAACCCATGCAACTGGTGGAATCAGTACAGATCAGGATATTCCTTGCATTGTGAAAACGTTTGGGGTGCTACATAAGGAAATGAAAGAAGAGTGAACTAATGCATGGCAATATTGCAAAAATATGCCCATATGGCACTCATACTAATGGCAACTTCATTTTCTGGGGTGATTCAGTAAGAAAAGATTTACATTCTGAGATGAAATAAATTCTTTCTCAGTAAGTTAGAGATATAATGTTTTGTGCTGCTTTTGCTCATTTTTATTTGCCAGTTTAAGGTCAGCTTGAGTGTCAATATAAAGATTCATTTTGGTGCATGTCCTAGAGAACTTGGTGTTTTGACTTTGTGGTAAGATAAGTCTTCACAACTCCTCCGCAGTTCAGATAGGTAACATTTTTTCTTTCTGTTTCCTTTCCTTCTCCAGTTCCCATCGTTATGCCCGAGCCATGGATTTTACTGAATACCTCAGAAGTTTGCAATTGAAGGATAACTCAAAATACCCCCATATGATGGACCATGCCACAAAGAATTCAGAAAACAAGACCTCTGAGCATAAAACTCTTCAAACTGACAAGTTGAGGTCTGAAGGCAATAAAACTGCATCCAAACTGCCTTTTTTTCCCAGAGGGATTCAGGATTCTAAAGTAAGTCCATAGAAATTCTATTGAGGATGGAGTAGGTATGTGGATAAATATGACATTGAGGGGAAGACTCTCTGTGACTTTGGTAAAAGGAAGTTCTTAACTGGAAATCTAGAAAATTCTTTGAAGGATTCAATGAATGTGGAGACAGTAGGATATAGCTGATGGTTTACTGGCATTTCCAAAAAACTGGACAAGGTTCTTTCCCAAAGGCTTTTAGAAAATAAGCAGCTGTGAGAAAAAGTGTTTTTATGATTGCTCTCATTACTTGCTTAAAAGATAGAAAACAGAGGTTTCCTAGGAAATAAATGGTCAGTTTTCTGAAGAGATGGTATCTGTACAATTCAGCACATACAGAAATGGAGGCAAAGAGTGAAGGGACAAAGTGCTAATGAAATTAAACCCTTCAGGGTAATGGTGTTAGTTCAGCAAAACTAAATCCATCTGCAGAGTTGCAAAAGGACTTTCTGGTATTGCGTATGCAAGTAACCAAATAGCAGATATAACTCAATGTCTGTAAATGTAAAATGATAGAGGAAAAAAAAAACAATGCTAAATGTATGTAAAGTGATGGGCTATGAATGATTTGTTTTCATCCAGGAGAGAGATTTTGGGATTAGTTTTGTGAAAACATCAGTTCTTCTCATCAGAGAAAACAACCAAACTAAGAAATAGATCATGAGGCATTATTAGAAAAGTAACACATTAAAAAAAAAAAAAGTATACATGGTGACATGTATATTGAGTGTTTTAGGTAGCTCATGTCTTTCATCCCAGAGGAGGGATGATCAAAGCTACGGAGCTGTTTCTATATTAAGACTAAAGAGATTGGGACTCTTCATCTGGAAAAGGAAGTAACTGACAGAGAATTCAATAAAAGTCTGTAAAATCACAAGTTACATAGCAGAGTTGAATATTTTCATTCTTTCTCACCATACCAGAACAAGGGAGTATCAAGTTAAAATTTAAGGCAGCAGGTTCCAAATAAAACAAAATGAGATATTTTTAAGCAGAACATGCAGTTACTTTGGAGCTCATTTGCACAAGTTTTTGTAGATGACAAATTTCATGTGGGTTCAAAGAGCAAGGTAAAATAGACATAAGGAAAGTCCATGAAGGGCTAGAGAATCCCTCTTTCTCTCAGGAAATCTCCACGCCACAGACCAGTAGTAGAGGCTAAAAGTGTGTGTTGGGGAAGCTGTTGTCCTGTTCTTGTCCTTCTCCTTAGGCACTGTTCCTGTCCGCTAACGGAGACAGGATGTTGAGCTAAATGTATCTCTGGCTTGAGCAGTATGCATGTTAGGATGTTGTGTTTGCGTTCTGAGGGGGAGTTCATCGGTGATGGATTGGATTGCTCTCAGGAGCACTGGATAGTTCGCTGACGAGGAGTTAATCCTCTGGAGCTTCTTGACTGCCGCCTTTGCTCTCTTAAGGAGCCTCTGGAAGGAACATCACTGCTCACAGGGACTTTTGTTTTGGGTACCTTTGCTTAACCGTGTTTCTTTGGAAGCTGATTTTTTTCTATCTCCATTAAACACCCCTTTCTTGTTATGTTTTAATTTTTTTTAACCTGCTCGAAGAGTGGCAGCTACACCAGTATTCTCATGTTTGCATAAGCGATCTCTGGCACTACACAGGAATACTTCACACGCATCACGCAGAACAGAAGCTGTCGCTTGACAGCGGGGCTGAGATGAAACCGTTTCCTGCACCGCCTGTCAAGCAGAAGTGGGAAACATTTACGAAAACGGTAGTAATGGGAAAAAAAAATTATCTGTGCGATCAGCGGCGATGAAAGCGAGCAGGCAGGGCGCCGTGCGCCGCGGTTACGCTCGCACTTGAAGCGAGCGTAACCGCTCGGTGCCGGCGGGAAGGCGGCGGCGGGGCCATCTTGGCGACCACCCCCGCGGCGGCCGCGGTGGGTGCGGCCGGGGGCGGCGCCGGGGCCGGGGCGGCCGCGCCCGCCCCTCCCTCTCTCCATCGCCTCCTTCCCTCCTTCCCTCCCTCCCGCGCTCCCTGCTGGCTCGGTGGTGGCGGCGGCGCCGCCGCTGATGCAATCGGCGTCCGCAGAAGCGAGCGCCGCGCACGGGCGGCTCCCCGGCGGCAGCATGAGGAAGGTAGGGCCGGGCGCGGTGCGGAGCGGGCGCGGTGCGGAGCGGGCGCGGTGCGGAGCGGAGCGGGCGCGGTGCGGTGCGGAGCGGAGCGGGCGCGGGCTG